TTCAAAAGCATGAAATTTAAACATGTAACTTCTAAAAAATGTAAAAATATTTATTAATCTAGCATTTATGACCTTCATAATTTGCCTGGAGTCTTATAAATTACCATGCAACATATAGTATATGAAACCCAGTATTTCATGAATTTCCACTATTCAAATAATTCACAATTCATGCTAAGGAAATTTGGCTGTCATTTTGTTTGCTAATTGGATTTGTGGCCTCAAATTAGAATCACAAAAAACATTGCTATTTTGGTCAAGTTTAAAGTGTGCAGAGCTTGAAAAATTTTATTTTTGTAGTTTCTTTGCAGAGAATGATTTACAGTATTTCAAATTTTGCTGAAAAAATATTTAATGGAGATACATATATATCTCCATTAAATACTTTTTTTATAATAAATATTTACATACCTACTTATTTAAGGTATATATAAATTAAATACTAATATATATTAAATACTAATATATATTAAATACTAATATATATACATATATTAAATACTAATATATAGATAAATATACACATTTAGGAGACTAATGGAGTTTTACTATTCCTTATATGAAGTTTGATATAAAATTGTAAACTTGAGTGATATAATTGTTTTTCATGCTATGTAAATTTAACTTATATCCCTGTAAACTATTGCACATTAATTTCCTTTTTAGCTCAGTATTATTGAGGATTATGAATGATTAGCTGATGCTTCTGGAACAGGCATTCATTGATCATTTAGGGTTAGGTAAGAAAGAAAATATTACTCTACAGTTTAATATTACATTTTTAAAATGTTGTGCACTGTGGAAAAAAATATCAAAATTGATTTCTTGCAAGATAATAGAATATTTGAAAATGTATGTAGTGATAAATATACTATATTGAGTTTCCAAATAATGTAATATGACTCTTAGATATTTTTATTTTTAGCATTTTTTGTGTCTGATTATAAAAAAATGTTTATTTTAGGAAATGTAAGAGATTCATAAAGACAACAAACAGAAAACAAAAATCTCTCCAATTACAGTAAAATATAAAATCAAGTTTATATTTTCTTACACATGATTTTAGCCCCTGTTTAGCCCCATTTTAAATGTGTTTGTTTTTATATGTATGCAAGATAATAATAAATTCAATAAACATGCATAATACATAATAAATGTTTTAATTTCCTCCCCAAATTTGTCATTAAAAGTTTTTCCCCCTAAATTTTGACAAATGTGCTTATTTCTGATAAGTACCCACCCACTGCCCCCAGGTTGCCCATACTGTGAATACTGCAAAATGGGTTATATTATGAACAGCCTGGAGGGATTATCAAAGGGTCAGAGGTTGGGAGAAAATAGTCATCCAAACAGGGTGACTATTTTGCCCATGGTAGCATGGTTGTGCCTCTTTAACACTTTACCTTGTTACTTTGCAACTTATTCTCTTTCAGGGCTAGCACATGACCTGGCTTAGCCCCTTCAATGAAAGTCTTCTTTCTAGGCCTTGTAAACATCACAGATAGTTTTTAATGATTCTTCATGCCTTCAGCTAAGCATTAACTCACATTTAGAATGTGAATTTTTAAAGAAGAGAAAAAAATTGGTTCACTGGTTATAAATGGGAATTTAATTACCACAGCAGTGTTATAAGGTCAGGGGCAGTGTGGTGTCATAAAAGTCAGTTCTTATTTCCCATGCTCATTGAGACAAATAATTTAATTGTAGTCAGTTTCCTCCTCTGTGAAATACTAATGTCAACTTTGTAGAATTCACTTTTAAGAATTAGAAAAATTGGCCAGGTGTGGTGGCTCACACCTATAATCAGCAATTTGGGAGGCTGTGGCAGGAGAATCATAAGTTCAAGGCCAAACTCCGCAATGTGGTGAGGGTGTAAGCAACTAAGTGAGGCTCTGTCTTAAAATAAAAACTACTTATAATAAAATAAAATAAAAAATGGCAGGGGATGTGGCTTGGTGGTCAAAGTCCATTGGGGTCAATCCTCAGTATCAAAAAAAAAACATAATTACAAAATTGTAGTAAATTATTAAAGAATACCAAGTACAATCTATACCAGGTAATCAGCAGTTGTTTATTCCTGTTACTACTGGTGTTAGCTCTGAACCACTTTGAGCTTTCTATTTAAAGTAAAATAGTTAATACATATTTCATAGACTAATCTTTAGAGACTAGTGAACTTGTAAATTTGCATGCCAAAGGTCTTATTCAAAGTATAAATTTAGAAATATGAGATCCAAGATTGTATGATGCTCCTCTATCTTTCTTGTATGTCATTTGTGCAACTAACTGCAAAATATTTTCTTGACAGGCATGCTATTTATGATCAGAGCAGTCACAACAAGTATGCAGGGGAATCATTCTTAGGAACTTCTGATGCTTTGTTTGATATTGAAAGCAAAGTGGACTCTTCCAAGGCCTGGGAAGAAGTGAAGAGACATATTACTATTGCAGCCTTCACCATGCAGAAATTGGCAGGAACTTTGAGAGAAGTAGCTTAAGAGAATTCTTTAGAATCCCCAGGTTGAATTGGTATGGTATATCCATGAGTGTCTTGATAAATTAAGAAATAAAAGTGGGAGGTTTTTTGTGTGTGTGTGTGTGTGTGTGTGTGTGTGTGTGTTTACTTTGTTCTTTGTTTTACTTCTTGAATGTGTAACAACCCCAAAAGCAACATGACCTCACAAAGTGGCCATCTGCAGCTGAGGCAGTCCTTGAAGGTTTGACAGCTGAAGGCTCTTCGCAGGCAGGGAATGTTCCCTGCAGCTGAAGCAAGATAATCTTCATTGAAGGGGAATCACAGCAAATAAAGTTTACTTCAGAGTGAAATGCTGAAGGGAAAGGGGCACAAAACACAAGATCAAGAAGAAAAAGGAATGATGGAGTCCTAACCGTAGAGTATGTCCATGTCTTTTTTAAAGTAGATGATATTGAATAGTAAATAACTGCATATTTATTTAAATTCCATTGGGTACATAGAAAAATTA